GGAGGGAGGGAGGGAGGGAGGGAGGATATATCTCTTTGGAGAGCAAATGAAGATTAAAGATTATCCAACCTTTACATTTCAAACTAGAGGAAATGGATGGACTATTCAAACTCTGACACAATTCTTATTTTCCTAAACTAACTGAACAATGACACAAATGTTAATTTATAAAATAAACTTAAAATTTTATCATTACTATTAGTTAATATATACAGATTTGATTTAGTGGCAATATTTTAAAAACTTGTTCATTTATTAAAAACTATTATTTTTGTTTTTTGTGCTGGGGATTTTTTGCTCAAGGCTAGGTACCACTTGATCCACAGCTTTCCACTTTCGATTTTTTTGTATGTGTGTGGGGGGGGGGGTTTGTTTTGATTTTGGTTTTTTTTGGTCGGTTGTGGAGCCTGAACTCTGGGCCTGGACACTGTCCCTCAGCTCTTCAGCTCAAGGCTAGCACTCTATCACCTGAGCCACAGAGCCACTTCTGGCTTTTTCTGCTTATGTGGTGCTGAGGAATTGAACCCAGAGCCTCATGCATGCAAGGGAAGCGCTCTACCACTGAGCCACCTTCCCAGCCTGGTACCCCCCCCATTTTTCTTTTCCCCCCCCATTTTTCTTTTTGTAGTTTTTACTGGAGAAGAGTCTCACAGACCTTTCTGTCCTGGCTGGCTTTGAACCACATTCCTAGATCTCAGCCTCCTGAGTAGGCAGAATTATAGGTCTGAGCCACCTGCAACCCAGCTAAAAACAAGCTGTGCATTTTTTTTTGGAGGGGGGGTCATGGGGCTTGAACTCTGGGCCTGAGTACTATCCCTCAGCTCTTCAGCTCTCTACCACTTGAGCCACAGCGCCACTTCCAGTTTCCTAATGGTTTATTGGAGATAAGAGTCTCATGGACTTTCCTGCCCCGGCTGGCTTTGAACCGAGATCCTCAGATCTTAGCCTCCTCAGTAGCTAGGATTGCAGGCGTGAGCCACCGGCGCCCAGCTTGTTTTTGTTTTGTTTTGTTTTAGTGCCAGTTCTGGGGCTTGAACTCAGGGCCTAGATGCTGTCCCTGAGCTTTTGTGCTCAATAATGATGCTCTACCACTTAAATCACATCTCCAATTTCAGCTTTTTGGTAGTTAATTTGAAATAAGAGTCTCATGGAGGCTCAGTGGTAGAGCGCTTGCCTTGCATGCATGAGACCCTGGGTTCCAGTCCTCAGCACCACATAAGCAAAAAGAAAAAAGCTGGAAGTGGCACTGTGGCTCAAAAGGTAGAGTGCTAGCCTTGAGCTGAAGAGCTGAGGGACAGCGTCCAGGCCCAGAGTTCAGGGCCCCCCCCCAAAAAAAAAAAGAGTCTCATGGACTTTCATGCCCAGACTGGCTTCAAACTGCATTCCTAAGATCTTAGCCTTATGAGTAGCTAGGATTATAGGCATGTTACACAGGCACCCAAGCGTTAAAAACAAGCTTTTTAAAATAAAATAATCTGAATAGGTCTTTGATTCTCATTAAAATGATAACTTTTTAATACTTCTGCAAGGGAGAGTTAGTAACCTTTAGAAAACTCTTCCTAAATTCAACTGCTGCTAATTTAATAAATCTAAATAAAAGGCTCATTATTACATTAATTATGTATGACCTACAGACAAAACTTTATAAAAAAACAGTTCAGTATAGTCAGGCACCAGTGGCTCACACCTGTAATCCAGAATTGTGGTTTGAAGCCAGCCTAGGAAGAAAAGGCCCCATGAGACTTTTATCTCCAATTAACCACTCAAAAGCCAGAAGTGGGGGGCTGGGAATGTGGCTTAGTGGTAGAATGCTTGCCTAGCATGCATGAAGCCCTGGGTTCGATTCCTCAGTACAACATAAACAGAAAAAGCCAGAAGTGGTGGTGCTGTGGCTCAAGTGGTAGAATGCTAACCTTGAGCACAGAAAGGCTCAGGGACAGTACCCAGGCTCTCAGTTCAAGTCCCAAGACTAGCAAAACAAAACAGAACAAAACAAAAAACCAATGGAGCCAGCGCTGGTGGCTCACGCCTGTAATCTTAGCTACTCAGGAGACTAGCTAGCCTGGGCAGAAAGTCCCATGAGACTCTTATCTCCAATTACCCACCAGAAAACTGGAAGTGGCTCTGTGGCTCAAGTGGTAGAGCGCTTGCCTTGAGCTGAAGAGCTCAGGGACAGCACCCAGGCCTAGAGTTCAAGCCCCATGACTGACCCCCCCCACAAAAAAATGCAAGTGGGGCTATGGATCAAAGTGGTAGAGCACTAGCCTTGAGTAAAAGAGCTTACAAACAGTACCCAGGCCCTGAGTTCAAGTCCCACAACAATAACAAAAAGAATATAGTTCACTAATAATACTTTATCAGAATTTTGCACAAACAGTATTTTTATGACACAATTTTCATTCTTACTTTGTCAAATTTTCCAAGGCTGCTTTTTGTCCGGGGATCACCTTCTTCAGAGCCAGTCATTGCTAGTTGTTGCAAAAGACGACCAACCTACAACCCAAGGCAGTGATAGACAGACATGGGCTATAGATACACAAATATTCTATTGTATCAAAGCACTCTTATTCTGTTCTGAAAATCTGATTTCAGCCGGGCGCTGGTGGCTCACGCCTGTAATCCTAGCTACTCAGGAGGCTGAGATCTGAGGATCACGGTTCAAAGCCAGCCCGGGCAGGAGAGACCGTGAG